TAGCTAAAGATGAGGGAAGTGCTCATGGTATATATTGAGTAAACAGATATTTAACCTTAAAGTCGGATCTCAATGGGGAAGAATTCATATATGGAAAATAGAAACAAAATACACCTAGATAATGGGGTTGCATTATTTTCTTTACCAAACTTCCTATGGTTTTCAGACTTTCCATAAGCAAAGTCAGCACAAACTTACTTTTCCTATCACCATGGCCAACCAAGTCTTTCAGGACTGGTGACACAAACTACAACCACGCTCAAAGAAATCTGGTCCCAAATGTTCTTTCTACTCCATATTGTTTAACATCCAGATTATCTCACAAAGCAGGAAAATAAATTGTTGCCTCCCCCAAAATAAAAACCCTTTTTTTTTTTTTTGCAAATTATTAAAACACAAAAGTTACTGAGTTGTTGTTCTTTTTAAGGACTGGTAATGTTTCATTTAAGAATAAGTTCCTGTTTTAAAGATTCTATCTCACACACACACACACACACACACACACACACACAAAATACATATTTTACCCAAGTTACAATTTTCTTTAGTCTGTATATAGCTATCTGTGCTTCTAAGTAAGAAAGCATTACTTCATTCCATAGGTTCTCAGATCACAGACATGATACTTCCATTTACTAAGGAGACTCCCTCCCTTCTACTGTACATAGTCCTGGTAAAAAGCTTGGCCAGAAGATTATAGCAGCTCTTGATCATAAAGAAATGTTCCCTAGTTTGAAGTAGACTGATCCCTTAAAAAAAAAAAAAAACTTGGATAATCCAAGTTTTGACATTAGAAATAATGCCCCAAATGAATAGTTTACCTGAAATATTACTTGAATTAAAGACTAGGGATTATAGAGCTTCATTCTATGAAATAGAATATTTTTTAAACATTTTTTTAAGTTGTAGCTGGACACAATACCTTTATTAATTTATTTGTATGTGGTGCTGAGGATCAAACCCAATGTCTCACACATGCTGGGCAAGCACTCTATGCTGGGCAAGCACTCTACCACTGAGCCACAACCCCAGCCCTCAAATAGGACTTGAAATTTACAAAATTTACTTACAAAAAATTTCCATATCAAAATATTTCTGAAAAAAATTACTGTAGATGTTGAAAGTCACAATAGCTACTGAGATATTAGCATAAAGCTGGACTTTGAAAATCACAGCCCTGTATTTTAGCTGAGTATTCTCCTTGCCTTTATTAAGCAATAGAATGAAAGGTGTCAAAATACTAATTAGAACCCAACTATAGCATCATTTTCGGGGGGAGGGATACTGGGGATTGAACTCAGGGCACTCGACCACTGAGCAACATCCCCAGCCCTATTTTGTATTTTACTTAGAGACAGGATTTCAGTGAGTTGCTTAATGCCTCACTTTTGCTGGGGGCTGGCTTTGAACACATGATCCTCCTGCCTCAGCCTCCTGAGGCTTTGGGATTACAGGCATGTGCCACCGCACCAGGCCCAACTGTGACATCTTGGGGAAGGGCCCTCCTCAGACTGACTGGGAAAACAAGGAAGCAAGCAGCCCTGAAAGCTGTGACTCCTTTATTTCCTGCTGTGAGAATGCTCCCAGCCACCAAAACAGTCCATGCACCCTTGCACAAGTTGTGCACTCACTCTCAGCGCCATCAGTGCACAGGTTCTCCAATCAACAGTGTTCTCCAATCAATCCAATCATCTCTATGGTGCACAAGAAATAGTGGAGGCTGGGAGTATGTGTATCTTAGCTCCTGTCAACCCAAAGACAACAGAAGCAACTCCTGAGAAAACCTGTAGGGAACTTGGACCAAAGGCTGGTCAGATCTCAATGTTATGCTTATATCAAGAGTTAGCTGGCTCAGTACCACAGTAACTGATTCCTAAAATAAGGCAGATCCACTAGCCTGCTCTTTGCCTTCCATCTCTAACCAATATAAGTAGTAACACAGCTATTCTTTGTAGATTTTCCTGTTCAGGAACTCATTTTTTGTAGCTCATAAGATTCAAAGTTCATGTTTCTATACCAATTAGAAAAGTCTGGCTTATGCTAAATATATCTGAAGTTTTCTAATCCACATTCTTGAGGGTATCATGATGCCAAAATCATTTTATCCTCAGATTAATTTTCCTGTCTATACATACTTAAACACACACACACACACACTAACACACACACTAACACAGTTGTTAAAATTAAGCAAATACAAGTTTGATAGAAAGTAGTATTCTTGAGAGAAAATTACATGGCAGGAAGTGCTTAACACTTGTGCTTTTAACCAAATTACAATAGAAAGCATTTAAGAAAGCATATTTGAAAATAAGGAAATTTTGTCATTGAAGTAAATTCGGCTCCTGACATAATTAGATACAAAAGTTTTTTTTTTTCCTAAGTCCCAAATACACAGTAAAACATTAAACATCAAATTTTAAACTATTACTTTAAAAGTTTCTCTTTTTTCTTCTTTCTTTCTTTCTTCTTTAGTTGTTGATGGACAGTATGCCTTTATTTTATTTGCTTATTTTTGAAAGTGGTGCTAAGGATCAAACCCAGTGCCTCACACATGCAAGGCAAGCACTCTAACACTGAGACCAGCCCTGGCTCAAAAGTTTTCCTTTAATTTTCTGATAAACAAATTGTTTAATATATACTATTATGAGAAGGTAAACACTGAAACTGGATATATTTGAATTCAAAAGTACAGAGTTTTTTTTTATTCAAATCTTTTAAACATTTAATAATCTGACTATTATCTATCATATTTTATTAATCTATCTCTATTTTGTTAGAAACTAATAATTCTAATTTTATTTCCAAGAAGTTTATGTATTTTTGTCTGTCTACTTTTAAATAATTAGTAAGTTAGTAGAATGTGCTTGACTAGGCTCAACTGTGAACTAATGGATTACGTAGAAAATGGTAGTAGAAAATTTACGTAGAAAATTTCTCCTTAGAAAATGCCAACAGTAATGGCATTTTTGAATGCAAATAGTAATTACTTTCAGCAACCAACAAAATACTACAAATTAACTACAAGACAGAGAGTGAAGGACACCAGATCACCACTGAACAGCTTTTATTAAATACTCTCCCTGTTAAGTTCTCCACTAGCGAATCAAAAGGTCACTACAATGCTCACAACCCAGGCAGTATCTATATGAAAATGGTGGACACAGGCTATGCGTTCCACTTCTCTTGTATATTCTTAAGGTCAGTGGATTATTTAACATGTTTGCCACGTCTGAATTCCTTGTGTTTTAACTCATCAAAGTAATGGATACTCATTTCATTTGGGGTTAGGATAAAAGGGGTGAGTCAAATGAAAGATTATCTGAAATAAAATATAAATTCATTCTTTTTCCTGTATCCCCAAGTGTGTTTACTTTACGTATAATTAAAGAAAAGAAATTACAAGCATGAAATTGCTTTTGTAAGGTCAATCACAATCCTATTATCCTACTTTCTGATATGGCTGCCTGCTTTTGAAGGCAGCTACAGAAAGTGAAGAAAGCCTCACTCAAGGTAGTTGATAGCTTTCTCTGTGCTCAGCATAGAGAAGAGTGTTCTTTGATGCATGCCTACTATTTGTGGTCTGTTACTATTCCTGACTCTGAATCTCAACCATGGCTTTGCCCTGAAGGACTCACCCAACACTTAAATTACACTTCTGCTAGACATTTGAAAGGAGACACTAATTACATTCATGGCTTAATTAAGGTCATTGCTCTTTTTCTTACAATCAGGGATACAATACAACTCAGAAACTGGTCACTGAACTGATGTCACATTTGCATAAGAATTATTGAATGGCTGAATTAATAATCTACGGATAGTTTTTTCTTTAAAAACAAATTTTAAAAACCTGTGCAGTAAGCTGTAATATTTTAACCTTAAAAAAATAGTCCCTAAGCTAGACAAAATTCAATAATCAAAATAAATTAGGACAGAAAGTCAAAATTCAAACTGGCAAAACACTTGGGCAAAAAAGCATCACAAAGCTAGCTATCTTGAGTATCCAATTAGCGGATGTTATGTCCAAAGGAAGAATTTTAAAAAACAACAACAAAAAAATTGGATCCTAGTGAAACTTAACTCCAGATGCCTTCTTCCTGGGGCATGCCATTACTCCCCTGGAAACCACTCACAAGGTAATCGCTCTAGTTCACCCAGGTGTTGGATGTCCACTTATGTGCCCTACTGGGACATTTGAAAAGGGTCCCTTTTCCAAACTGGGCTAGCTTTATGAGCAAGGCGACCAAAGAAACAAACAGTGCACCTAGCAACCTGCACATAGCACCTGAGGCTCTCTGGTCACAACCTACTCACACCAAGCACGCAGCCATAAAACGTCCCCAATTTAAGAGCTCTTCGGGTCCTAAGAGATGTTCCCTGCCAGGATTCGCAGAAAAAGCGGTCGCGAAAAGGTGCTGAGAGCCTAGTTCTCGCCAGCAGCTGGGCCCGCGTCACCTACAGGGTCCCGCACCTGCTGAGGCAAATCTGCGCGAGGTCAGGGCAGTCTGGTGGCCAGTCCGAGCGCAGTCCGCACCCACGAGTGCTCCCGTCCGGCCGAGTGCCTCGGACCCTGCGGTCCCGACCCCCCCGAGTCCTCCTCTCCCCTCGCCCCAAGACCCTGCGGTCTCCAGCCCTCTCGCCCCGCGCCCCGGACCCTCCCCGCTCCGCGCCCAGACCCTCATGGCTCCCGCATTCTCCGGTCCCGTGCCGCGCCCCAAGGTCCCCCCTTCCTCGTCCCACTCCCCAACGTCCTCCCGTCCCGCTCGGCGACCCTAGAGCCTGTGGTCTTCGGCCCTCTTGGCCCTCGCGTCAGCTTATCCCGCCCCGCGCCCCCACGTCCTCCAGTCCCTCTCTGCGACCCAGGACCTTGCGGTCCTCAGCCTCCTGGCTCCCGAGTCCCCGGACCCTCCCCGCCCCGCACCCAGACCCTCCAGGTCCCCGCGTCCTTTCTTCCCCGGGCCCCGATTCCTTCCCTTCTTTCCAGGTCCGACACTCACGAGAAAAAGGGGTCGTCCTCGAAGCCGTTGTTCAGCATCCTGAACATCCTGGCAGCCGCCGGCGCGGCGGAAGGGGACGCGGACTGGCTGGAAAACGGCGACCCCGCCGCGCCCGCGCGCAGCTCCCAGCCCGCGACGCTCTGAGCTACCCGGGCCCCCAGCCTGGGAGAGCGCGAGCCGGGATGCCCTCCCATTGGACGCGGCCAGTGGCGTCACAAAGAGGGCGTGGCAAGCGCGCTGCCTTGGCAACCAGAGCCGCACACGTGCGGGAGATGTGGGACAAGGCGGCCTATCATTGGACGATGTCCGTGACATCATAAGGGGCGGGCCCCGCGCCGCCATGGCAACTGAGACCGCTTTCCAGGCCGGTAGCTGCCAAGCTCCGTGGCTCTGTGCCCCGATGCCCTCAGGGTGCCCGCTTCGCGCCCTCGTAGACCGCCAAAGCCTCTTCGGCCGTGGGGGCGGGCACGCTTGGGACTGGCTGGCAGTTGAGGTCAACCACCGACCGCGCTCCGTGCCCGCTGAGGAAACACGTGCTCGGAGCCCTGGAGCTCAGTCTGCAAGGGGTGCGCTCGCTGCCGAAGGTGCCAGTCACATTTCACAAATTTGCCCTTAGTGAGTCTAATTCCAGAGCATATTTCCCAGGGAGCGAACCGCTTGAGCCATGTTGCAGACGTGGGATCAAAAAGCAAAAAAGAAAGGTGCCCTCTTTTGGTCTTCTTAGTTCTGTTCCAAGGACCCTATGTCATTTTGAAGCCCTTAAAAAGTCTCTGGCGTTAAAAAAAAGAAAAGTAAGAAAGAAAAGAAAAAGAAAAAAAAGAAAGAAATTATGGTATTTACCGGTAAATGGATGGAGCTGAAGAATATCATGCTAAGAAAATAAGCTAGTCCCCAAAACCAAAGGCCAAATGTTTTCTCTGATATGCAGATGCTAATTCACGATGAGGGGAGGTGGGGCTAGGGAAGAATAGTTACTTTGGATTAGATAGAGGGGAGGGGGAGTATGGAGGTAGGAAGGATATGAATGAATCGGACATTATTACCCTATGTACATGTATGATTACATCACCGATGTGATTCTACATGTACAACCAAAGAATGAGAAATCATTATACTCCATTTATGTAGGATGTGTCAAAGTGCATTCTACTGTTATATATAACTAATTAGAATGAAAACAACAACAACAAAAAAGTCTCCAGCATTCCTTAACCTAACAGCAGGATTAAGAAACAAGGGCTTGCAGGGCAGGAAGCCCTATCTAACTGAAATTCCATTACTATGTATTTTTGTTTTCATTGTTTTTATGAAGGAGACTTCATTTATGTCGAGAAAACTCATTTTGATTTTGAAGCAGTAGTATTCAAAAATTGATATTGCATTTGAGGCTAGGCTTTAAAAATTTTAATGAAAAAGTGATCTAACTTAAATAATACAGGTGGTGGCTGGGATGTAGCTCAGTGCTTGCCTGGCATACTCAAGGCCTGGAGTATAATCCTCAGCACAGCAAAAAAGAAAAGTCAGAAGGAAGAGAGGGAAATAAAAGAATTAGTACTGGTGGGATTTGAATATGGTAGTAGATTTGGATATGGGGGGGGGGGTGCCATGACAGTGAGGCTCAAATAACTGAGTTTTAGAAAGCATTACTGTGTGCCTACCAGGACCCTGGAGGCAGGAGAGGGAAATTAGATGAGAAGAATGGTACAGGTGCAAAGAGAATGTTTCTTTCATGTGCACCCATTAATCCAGTGTGGTCTCCAGACTTTGAAGGGCTGAGAAGAGGAGGAACATCTGTGGCTTATCAGGCTAGAGAGATGGCACTCTGCCAGTGTGAATAAGCAGCAGACTCTGACTTGGATGTGGCAGGAGTACTTGAGTTATTTTGGGAGCTGGAAATTTAATCCTCTGGACCTCTTACCCCCACCTTAGCCAAGTTCTCTGTCAACCTCTTCCTGCTAAAGCTGGTGGCATGAGGCAAGGCTGACTTCACATGCTAAGATAAGATGGAACAGCCCCTTCCAGGGAATAGGATATTTTCTTTTTCTTTGGCCTTGGAATGAAGCCCCAAAGCATATACATTAGGGAAATTCTGAATTGATATTAAGGCAAACAAATTATTTTATAACACCCTGAAATAACTATCTGCCCCCACCCCCAGTACTGGGGATTGAACACAGGGCTTTAGTCTTGCTCAGGCAAACATTCCACACTGAGCTACATCCCTAGTCCCTTTAAAATTTTTTTTTCTTAGTTGTAGTTGGACACAATACCTTTATTTATTTTTATGTGGTGCTGAGGATCGAACTCAGTGCCTCACACGTGGTAGGCGAGCGCTCTACCACTGAGCCACAACCCCAGCCCCATCCGTAGTCCTTTTTATCTTTTGAATTTTGACAGTCTGGCTAAGCTAACTAAGCTGAAATGAATCAAATCAAATCAAAATGAATTGGTGAAAAAAATCAAAATGGGGTAAGCTATGTGATAGTTAATAGTATTAAAATAGTTTTGGATTAAGGCCGAACAAAGAAACTTGTGAAAATAATTTCCTTTTTGTTTCATGGAAATTTTTCTCAGAATCACATTGTTAAAACATGAAAGCTTTATTCTAGGCATAGGTTAGTCTGGGAGTTACCTGGCGCTTCTGAAGTTTGGACCTAATGGCAAATGCTTAAATTTTAAAAAAGTGGGGGAGGGCTTGTTGAAGAGAGCTTGACATCTGTTTTTGATTTGATAAGTAAGAGGCAGGAAACAAAAAAGAAAGGGTGGGTCAGGAGAATGAACATCTGAGCAAGCAAGCAGCAGAGATGTGGAGCAGGACGAGAGGACAGGGTCCTAGGCTAGGCTCCAATATGTCATAACAGCCAGTGTTACTGAGCATGCCAGGTGCTGTGTGTACATACCCTGTCAGATGCTCACTGGTTTCCTGGAGTAGAGATGCTCTTATCCCCACATATAGATGATGCCACTGAGACATGGGCCAGTTGCCAAGGTTCACACCATAGCAATTAAAATACAGTGCAGACCTTACTGAGTGTAGGATAAAAGCAGGTAATCACTTCTCAGAATCAGTCCAACAAGTTAAGTGGACCCTAACCACAAAGCATGAAATCCAGTGAGAATTCCTCCAAATAAAGTCCATTCAGTTCCACAAATAATTAAGTGCCTCTCCTGTATGGGATAGACAGATGGAGGCATCCATGAACAAAACACGCCAAAATCTCTGCCCTCCTGAGGTTTCTGTTACTATGACAAAATGAACAACAATCAAAGTAGTATATTAAAAGGCAATGAGTGCTAAGGGGAAAATTGTTCAGGGAAAGGGGTGGAGGTTTACAGCTGTGGAAAATACAGTGTATATTACTGAATGTGAATTTGAGCAAAAACTTATAGGAAGGAGTCGATATCAGAAGAACATTCTAGATCAGTACAGAGGTATAAAGTGGCATGTGTCTGGTGCATATGATGCACAGTTCCATTCCTATGTCTTGAAGCTCACCTTCAGAGACAGCAGGGAGATGAACCATGTGAAATGGAAATCACCCATTAGGATGGTATCTCCCATGACACTTCTGGTGCTCAAAGCACAGTTCTAAGTGCTTTGGTACCTATTCTCATTTAACCCTCATGCTAACTATGCATGCTGAGAAGTTTAGCCCTGGGTTACATATGAAGACAACAACATGCAAAGTTGATGACTGTCTATCCATTTCAAACCTAGACTTGTGAAACTGGGGTTTGAGAGGAAACTTGATTCTGCTTCTGCAGGTAGGTGGTCTGTATGAACTGTAGCCTTTGGTGCCAAGAAAGCCTGTTTTAGTGTTAGCAGCTCATCACAGCAGGGATACTGCCTGCATGAGCTCTGAAGGTCAAGGGTTTTACTGTAGGCAAAGTTCAAATCATCCCCACTACCACTGAGTGGCGTGTGGCAGCTTTCAGTATCACAGCTCTTAATGGTGGCCATGCCCTCAGGTGTTGTGACAGACCCCACAGCTCACTGCCAACTTCTTTCCTGGTTCTTTTCTCACAAATCCAAAGCATGAAATCCATGGGGATGGTGGAATACAAGAAAAGGATTTATTCACACCCGAAGAATACAAACAGAATTCCCTCATCAGGGGAAGGGGGGGACCCCATAGAGGTGCTGCCTAAGTGTACTATTCTGGGGCTTATATAGCACTTGAGTCAGCACAACTGGTCCAAATTTATGCCAATCAGGGTTTGGGAAAGTACCAATGCTGTTAGGTAGTCCTGCAATCTCATTCAGATCTGTCCCACTCCTGATTTCCCACCCCTTGTCAGGAAGCAGGAGGTCGAGGTCGTGGACTGTGGATCTGGGTTGCGGGCGTCCTCATCAGGCCAGGCTGTGCTGCTGTAGTGGGACAGGGGGATGCACCCTGACTCACCTTGGCTCATGCTTGCCTTCCACACTCCAGCCCACCTAGGACACAACTGGCAGCTCTAGAACTTGTCCTACTTCAAAGCCTATATTCTCGCCACCATTTACTTTGCCTCCCTATTTTGAAAAAGTAAATGCATCACTTACTGAGCACATCTGCATGGCAGGCCTTTATACATGTGTAATCTCCAGTTACACCATTGCTCATGTTTAATTTGGAAGTACACTGACCAGGAACATCCAAAGGATTGAGTGAAACCCAAGCCAACTTCACAATTCCACTTAAGACGTTGAGAGTTCAGAGTAGCATTGACCTGTTGGATAGTGGTTAAGACCAGCTACATCCAGACACCATTGCACACACTCAGGCTACAAAGCTCACCTTCAGAGACGGTAGGGAGATGAGCCATGTGAAATGGAAATCACCCATAGGTGGGCTGGAGTGTGGAAGGCAAGCACCTTGGACTTTTCAGACTATTTCTGATGACATTATCTCAAGTGCCACAAAAGAATCAGGCAGGCTTGTGAGTATTGGACCTTGACTTAATTGTTACTCTCCAGAGCCAAGGTATTAGGCCTCTAAACATTTTTTCCATGGTTAATTTCAGTGTAGCTAGGGTTCCTTTATTGGATCCCTCTGTCTTAAACAATGTTCAGAAGCGCTCTGGGATGGATGCCACAACAAATTCACAGGTGATGGGGAAATTTTTGCGGGA